ATCTAAATGATTATCGCTGCCAAGTCCTAACAATACAAGAAAACTACCAACAAGGTTTCCTTCAGCTTGCAGTTATAAAGGGTGTTTTATATAATGGTCCTATAAAGTAAATAGTATCACTATACTGAGCTAATGTTGCCCTATAGTATCACATACTGGATGGAATAACCCAGAAAGTCATGTAATACCAAAATACCAGCAAATCACTTTGCAGTGAAAAATCAGGTGGTTATTTGGGGTCCTGAATCTTTTTTAAGGAACCTAAGCCTAAAATACATGTATCTGTAGTATTCTTCTAACTGCTTCTGCAGTGACTAGAATTTTTAGCTCTGGTTTGTGTAGCAGGAGAAGAGGTTGTACGCCATGATGCATCAGATTCATCTTTATCTGAGCTGTTCTCATGAGTGTCTAGCGCTCCTGCTTCATCACAGCTACTGGTCTCATTCCAGCATCCTGGTTTTGGCCGTGATACATTCTCCCTGTCTGTCTGTCCACCTGCAATGTGGTTGATATGGCCAGTTTCTGGGTGGAGACCAAATCTGATTTAAGCCAACCAAGCCTGCAGTCTCATGCTTGTGATAGTGTGTGTAATACATGCTCAAGCTCCTTGTATGTCTGTCCTGCTCTGCTGTTAGAATTCCTCTGTTTATGACCTTGGATCAGATATTGACTATTATTTGAACTCTTCTTGCCTTTTGACTACGAATTGGACTCTGACTACTCTGTACCTTGCCCGCCCTGTACCTGGACTGTCATTGGACCACTCTGCATGTCTGCCAAACGCGAGTACCCATTTACTGTGCTCAGTTTGTGCCTTCCCCAGCGTGGAGCCAGGCACTATAGAATTGTGTATAAGTCCGGGCGGCAACCAAGTGCTGGAAAGGATGCTGTTGTAGCTGAAGCACACAGAAGCCAGCTATAGTGCCTGTGCACCTGCATTAGGGATAAGCTTGACAGCTGCATTGACAGACACCATTGTAACTAAGAAGTGGGATAAATATATTATTATTATTACAGGTATTTATATAGTGCTGCCAATTTACACAGCGCTTTTCATATATCTATTGTACATTCACATTGGTCCCTAACCCCCCAGGCATGTACAATCTAAGTTCCTAACTTACATTCATACATATACATACTAGGGCCAATTTAGACAGGAGCCACAATTACCTACCAGCCTCTCTTTGGAGTGTGCGAGGAAACCAGAGTACCCAGAGGAAACCCACACAGGCACAGAGGAGAACATGCAAACTTCAGGTGGGTGGTGCTTTGGTTGGGATTTGAACCAGCACCTCTAGCACTGCCAGGCAGAAGTGCTAACCATTTAGCCACTGCGCTGCCCAAAAATTATTGAAGGATCAGGATGGCACATTTTGTGGCTGACTATTTTACAGATGTAGTCAAGTGTGATGCACTGTATTATTACTAACATTATTATTATTTAAAACATTTTTAATAAATATTTGCAGTACAATCTACTAATTTATGTCATCCATATTAAGGCAAGCAGTAGACTGTAGCAATCTTCTGGGTAATCATCAAAAATATCACTTTAACTTACCAGTTATCCAGTGCAAAAGAAGAATGCAAGAGGAAAATTTGAGTTTTAGTCCCTCCACCCCCCTTCCCCCTTAGTCTCAGCTTGCTATAGAGATTGCATGTTCAAAATAATAATATAGACGTATCAATAGTGTGGGAGGGAGGAGTGATAAATATTATTGCACAGGGTGCAGTAGTGCACATATGGCAGGCACAGGGGTCAGGAGTTGTGTATCATGCACGGTGCAGGACCAGGTATTGCAAAATGCTCAGGGCTTAGGAGTGGGTAATTCACAGGGCTCAGTAGTGTGTATTGCGGTATTGCACAGGGTTCAAGGCTCAGGAGTGAGTGACACACAGGCTGGTGTACTCCCCCCCCCCCCAAACTCCCTTCCCAGTAAAGAGCTTTACCCACAAACTCTGAGTAAAGAGCTTTACCCACAATCCTCCAGTGCAGAGCTCAACCCCCACTAGTACAGATCTCTTCCCTCAACCCCCTACTACAAAGCTCTTCCCCACCCACCCTCAGTACAGAGCCCCCCCCCCCCCATCCCTCCAGCACAGGGTTCTTCCACCAACCCCTCTAGTACAGCTGTATTGCAGGAATTTGATCACTGCAGATTAGAGGAGATCAGCAGCATTCTCACTAAATTCCAGGCCCAATCTGAGGGTAGTGTAGTCTTTGGGATAGGCCAACATGGCTCCAGTACATTGTATACTGTATGTGCATTAACAGCAGGATGGTAATAACACTGTATCACTACTATGCATGCACACTAGCTTCAAAATAGCTTTTAAAAGCACCCATCACAACAGCCATACCTAGTGGGAAGCACATTCCCGAGTGGTTCCTGCAGTAGGTGAATCTGTGTTGCAATGGGAGATAACCTCATTTCTGGGCCCATCAGTTCAGGCTGCCTCCCTACGTCTGACTTCTGCTGTGGGTTACACAGGCACTGCAATATCCAGCCTGGCAGCATTTGGAGTTAGAGCTGACAGCTCCCTGCAGAGGCATTACTGTGCCTGAAACCACCCCCTCATCACCACAATTGTGCCAGGACTCCCCACACCCCCTCATCACCACAGTACCAGTGCTCCGCTTCTCATTACCATGCCTGATTCCCATCCTCAGCTTTTGCCATCACTGTACCAATGCACACGTATATGCTCTTTGCCACTGCATTAGCGTACCTTGCCATATTCAGACCCTTTCAACGAATTGGCACACTTTTGCTAGTATATCCTCAAACTATTAATGTAAACTAGCTTTTCTTTCTTTTTTTCTTTTTTCTCTTTCTTTCTTTCTTTCTTTCTTTCTTTCTTCTCTTTTTCTTTCTTTCTTTCTTTCTTTCTTTCTTCTTTCTTTCTTTCTTTCTTTCTTTTTTTTTCTTTCTTTTTCCTCCTTTCTCAATTGATTCTACTACTTTGTATTTACACCCGTTATATTTATGATCTGGGATACTCTGACTGTTCCATCTGCATCGTACATTTTTTCATTTGCAACGCATGTCAAATGAATCATACAGAAAACAGATATATTATATCTTTATTATATATTTGATGTATTTTAAATACAGAATTGTTGGTTTGATCTTAGAAGGCAGGGAAGAAAGAAAACCCATTGAGCTCCAATCAGCAAATGTGTCAACAACATGTCATCATTCAGAGGTTAAGAAAATGAAGCCTTTGTTCACCATAGCAACTAAAAGGCTTTTTATCAGAAATCCATATATTTTCAGATAATGTGTGGTTTTCATAATTATCCTTTCAGCAGTCCTTAAATGCCTTTGAAGCCATTACCAATTAAATATTCATCTTCGGTAAGTATATATTTGAGATACTGTAAAACATGATTAATTTATCATCCTGAGATCTTAAATCATGGTTCATGGGCTCTAACAATAAAATTGATCTTCTTGACCCGTCTATTCACTATGGCATTAATTAGATTTGAATATGACCTGGCTATTGTGGAAGCATTATTAAAAAAGACAAGATTTAGACACATTTAGGAAAATATATCACAGTGTTATTTTCTTTTCTCTGTATAAAATTGTCTTTACCACTAAAGAAATGTTTAGCTTTATTTGTTCCTAACAAGGTTCCAAGTTTTGAAACAAGTTATCTAATGATTTAGACTCCATATATGCAAATCTGAGCTGACTAACGGAATCATAGGCGCAATTACAATCTGCAAATATGTCTCTTCCTACCTAAATCAAGAGTTCCTCACTCGTACCTAATAGAGTCCATTTGTAACTATTCAGATTCTCCCTTTCAAAGCTTCTTTGCAATATGTTAGAATGAAGGGAATAGCTGATTGGTTGTTGGAGACAGTACACATTTCTACTTTAGATGCTCATGTACTTTCAACCAATTATTCCTAAAACCCCTCTTTTAACCACCATTTCCGTTGTCTTGGTTGGAAAACTAAAATACATACATAAATTAGGAGCTGTTTCTTTCAGCCAAATAGTTATGATTTCAGAAAATATTAGTCACGGGGATTAGTATTATATTTGTTTCCCAGGATACAACTGTGGCGGATACAAAGGGGAGCTTTACTAAAGCCGATGCACTTAGAATCTGGTGCATGTGTGCATGGTAGCCAGTCAGCCTCTAACTTCAGATTGTTCAATTAAGCCTTCACAATAAAATCTGGGAGCTGACTGATTTCTGTGCAGAGTTGCACAAGAATTTGCACTCTCCAGTTTTAGTAAATAACCCCCAAAGTGTATTCAGTACAGCGGATACTTGATACAACCTGTGGGACCTCTGTATAGCAATACAAAACAGGTGTCCTTTTCACCCACACATAGTATAAACCAGGGCCAGGATTTGTGGCTTGTTCATCATGGTTAGATCTAAGATTATGGCTGAGCAAAACTGAAGATGGTGGGACAGAACCTTTCCCGGTAGACATTTATTAAATTCATAGATGTTCATGGTGAACACTGAATACGTATACTATATTGCCAAAAGTATTGGAACACCTGCTTTTAATGTTAGACCAGAAGGCCTGGCTCGCAGTCTCCGCTCTAATTCATCCCAAAGGTATTCTATCGGGTTGAGGTCAGGACTCTGTGCAGGCCAGTCAAGTTACTCCACCCCAAACTCATTTATCCATGCTTTTATGAACCTCTTTGTGCACTGGTGCGCAGTCATGTTGGAACACGAAGGGGCCATCCCCAAACTCTTTCTACAAAGTTGGGAGCATGAAATTGTCCAAAATGTCTTGGTATACTGACACCTTAAGAGTTCCCTTCACTGGAACTAAGAGGCCAAGCCCAACCCCTGAAAAACAAGCCCACACCATAATCCCCCCTCCAGCAAACTTTACACTTGGCACAATGCAGTCAAGTACCGTTCTCCTGGCAACTGCAAAACCCAGACACATGCATTGGATTGCCAGACAGAGAAGCGTGATTTGTCACTCCAGAGAACACATCTCCACTGCTCTAGAGTCCAGTGGCGGCTTGCTTTACACCACTGCATCTGACGCTTTTCATTGCACTTGGTGACGTAAGGTTTGGATGCAGCTGCTCGGCCATGGAAACCTTTTCCATGAAGCTCTCTACGCACTGTTGTTGTGCTACGTGCTTCATAAGGCCACACAAAGTTTGGAGGTCTTTAGCTATTGACTCTGCAGACAGTTGGGGACTTTTGCGCACTGTGCGCTTCAGCATGCGCTGACCCCGCTCTGTCATTTTACATGGCCTACCACTTTGTGGCTGAGTAGCTGTTGTTCCCAGTTGCTTTCACTTTGTTATAATACCACTAACAGTTGAACATGCAATATTTAGTAGCAAGGAAATTTCACAGATGGACGTATTGCACAGGTGGCAACCTATCACGGTACCACGTTGGAATTCACTGAGCTCTTGAGAGTAACCCATTCTTTCACAAATGTTTGTAGAAGCAGTCTGCATGCCTAGGTGCTTGATTATATACACGTGGCCAGGGGCAGACTGACCATTTGAAAACTTGGGCACTGCCCGAGGGCCCGGGGTCAGTAGGGGGCTCCATGAGATGCCCCTGGTACCTTTTTCATAGGCTTTTTTGAGTTTGGGCAAGGACACGGGCCCCATGATCCCCTATTGCCCGGGGGCCCCATGAGTTGTTAGTCTGCCCCTGCATGTGGCCATGGTGGTGACACCTAAAGCTAATGATTTTGTGGGGTGTCCCAATACTTTTGGCAATATAGTGTATAAAAACATGACTAATCCTTGTAGCTTTAGAGGATGGCCTACACATGATGATTTACTTTAAATGCATATCTGCAGTATATTACCAAGCAAATCCTAGGTAATATTGAATTATACTTTTAATGCCTACTTCGCTACATTCAGTTTGTTGTGAGGAAAGCTATAAAAAAACAACACAACTAGAATTTGCACACAAGCACTTCTTCCATTAAGAAAACAGGACCAATTTGTCATTGAACATGTTTAAAAATAATGCACTGCTCAAAAATCAGAGTATAGCATCAAGTCAATTAAACTCCTGGCATATTAATCTAGTCAGTTAAGTAGCAGAGGGGGTTGTTAATCAGTTTCAGCTACTTTGGTGTCAATGAAATGAATAACAGGTGCACTAGAGGGGCAACAATGAGACGACCCCAAAAACAGGAATGGTTTTACAGGTGGAGGTCACTGACATTTTTTTCCCTACTCATCTTTTCTGACTGTTTTTCACTATTTTTGCATTTGGCTAGGGTCAGTGTTACTACTGGTAGCATGAGGCGATACCTTGACCCTACAGAGATTGCACAAGCAGTCCAACTCCTCCAGGATGGCATATCAATACGTGCCATTGCTCTGTCTCCCAACACAGTCTCAAGAGCATGGAGGAGATTCCAGGAGACAGGCAGACTCTTTCACTGTCCAGCTCTCCTAGAGTGGGAGAGTCCTAGGAGAGCTGGACAGGACCGTAGAAGGTCCTTAACCCATTAACAGGACCGATATCTCCTCCTTTGTGCAAGGAGGAACAGGATGAGCACTGCCAGAGCCCAAAAAAATGACCTCCAGCAGGCCACTGGTGTGAATGTCTCTGACCAAACAATCAGAAACATATTTTGTGAGGGTGGCCTGAGGGCCCGACATCCTCTAGTGGAATTTGCCATTGAACACCAAAATTGGCAGGTCCACCACTGGCACCCTGTGTTCACCCTGAGCACATGTGACAGACGTGAAAGGGTCTGGAGAAGCCATGGAGAACGTTATGCTGCCTGTAACATCATTCAGCATGACCATTTTGGTGGTGGGTCAGTGATGGTTTGGGGAGGCATATCCATGGAGGGACGTGCAGACCAATACAGGCTAGACAATGGCACCCTGACTGCCATTAGGTATCAGGATGAAATCCTTGGACCCATTGTCAGACCCTATAGTGGTGCAGTGTGTCCTGGGTTCCTCCTGGTGCATGACAATACCCGGTCTCATGTGGCGAGAGTATGCAGGAAATTCCTGGAGGATGAAGGAATTGATACCATTGAATGGCCCCCCATGCTCGCCTGACCTAAATCCAACAGCACACCTCTAGGATATCATGTTTTGGTCCATCCTACATCGCCAGGTTGCACCTGTCCAGGAGCTTAGTAATGCCCTTGTCCCGATATGGGAGAAAATACCCCAGGACTCCATCTGTCGTCTCATTAGGAGCATGCTCCAATGTTGTCAGGCATGCATACAAGCACATGGGGACCATACAGTCTACTGAGTACCATTTTGAGTTGCTGCAATGAAATTTCAGCAAAATGGACAAGCCTGCTGCATTTTTTTTTAACTTTGATTTTCAGGGTGTCCTTGAATTCAGGCCTCTGTAGGTTGATAATTTTCATTTCCATCAAATGATGGAGCATCCTTACATTCCTAACACATTACCCAGTCCATGTCAGTATAAATATCCAGCATGATATCTTTCCCCATTGAGAGCTGATGTGTTTTTAAAGTGTTCCTTCAATTTTTTTGAGCAGTGTATATTTAGTTGATCAATATCAACAACTTTTTATCGAATTTAGTCTGCAATCCAGAGTTATAGGCTGATCACTAATGTGTCAACAGGTGCTATGAACAACATGTCATCTAATTCAACTTTTTTAAAATGGAATAATTACTGGGGACATCTGCATTTCACATATATATACATACTTGAATGAATGTGTCTGTGAGCATTGAATTAGGGTAAAGATCTTTCAGTGGTCAAATTATCTGATAATTATCTATTGTCTGTCAGCCCCTTACTCCAACTTAACCAAGGTTGGCTGTGATCCACTGAAAATGTCTGTTATAGTAAAATTATATTTTTTTTATTTTCTGCTTCTTCTCTGGCTTTACATGTTCTTACATACTGTAACTGCACTTTAGCCACTTACTCCAATCCACTGAAAACATCTATTATATTTAAAGCTAATCTCCAACTTTTAGTGACGTTTAACCAATCTGTTTGGACCAGCTTGGTTAAAAAAAAAAACTATTTAAACTTCTATAAAAGCTGGAGATCAGCTTTAAACTAGAGTTGTTTGATTTTTCATCATTGAAACCCATAGGTGCCTCTCTACCATAATTTTTTCTTAAATGGTGTGAGTGAACTTAGTCTACATTTACCAATTGACCAAAATGTTGGTAACAATATAACTGTAGTAATTCTATTTACATCTGTCAAGCCATGCAAGTGTTTCCCTTCATGTCTCCTTTAATGCTGTGTGGGCCCTTTGGCCATCTTCTCCAATCCAGTGTAAGTTATATTAAAACTATAGCGGAGCAATTTTTAGCACTCAAGCACATTTAGTGCTTCCCTGCTTTATATATTTATAAAACAGCCATAAAACATTAGTTTAAAAACTTGGGGAAAAAAATTGTATATTACAATTATTTTAACACAAAACCAGTAGATTTCCTGTAAAATATAATCCCCACAGTGTTTCCGTGTATATTTATTTTTTATTAATCAATTTAATTAATATAGAAATGTTAGTAGAAGAGCACAGAAGATGTATAAAATGGTAAGCACAAAAAATAAGGAATACAATCAAACATATAACTCCCCACTATTGTTTACCGAGAGATTATAACTAGAAAGGTTATAATGATGTGAACCAAACAAAACTAAAAAAACATCCATAAACTGAATGCAAAGCACAGCAGAGCCTTCCTAAAACAAGGGGTTTCATGTGCATATCTTGCTTCCATCACAAACTAAAAAAAATATTGAGTTTATTCTTCTTTTTGGGAAAGTGTGAAAACACTTATGAGCCCAACTCACTGTAACCTGTCTGGATGTATTTCCTTTGTTGCTCTCTAATCCCTGCTCTCTAAAAGTCAATATTCCGTTGCTCTGCATTGATTATAGACAACTAATCAAAAATAGCTGTGTGCAGTTTTTGATAAATGAATCTATGATATTACACTGTATGAATGCTTATAAGCCAGTGGTTCTGAATGCACAGTTGGCCCAGGGGTAAAAATTGATTATTTCCAGTGATTGGTCCTCTGTCCTGAAAGGAATAAACAACTTACATTCGGGATTCATGATGGAAGTAAAACATGCAGATATTTTGTGTTTTTACATAAGATCTCCAATCCCAATCTTCTAAGGCCGAGTTTGCATTCCATACATGAAATGACATTGAATGATGCTTCAAAAGTGAAGATAAATATACATTATGGCCCAGAGCACTCTATATGGTTGATTTACCAAAGGCAAATAGACTGTTCAATTTGCAAGAAAATTTTCACTTTGCAGGGGAATTTTCATCTACTAGACGGATGTGATTTCAACAACTGTTTTTACGCTTTTTGTCAATGAAATTCTTGCAGCATTTTAGAGCACTTTACCAATTCAACAAGCAGTTTTGAGTAAGTTAGAAGCTGGATCTTATTCAAAGCAGTTTTCTTGGTTTCAATAACCTGACCTCTTGAGCTGATTTCATATATTATCGTTAGACCTGCTAGAAGAAATATATTTTTTTTTTCTTTTAATACCCACAGGACATTACTCTGCCACATATCCCACTTCCCAGCACAACATTGATCTATAAAGTAACTGTTGAAAACTAATATGGACTCTTGACAATGCTTAAGAGAATCAAGCCTGTTTTTTTTATTTAAATAAAACTGACATGGCTATAATGAGAGATATGTATGTTTACTGGCATTCTTGTCCTGATGGGGCCCCAGGGCAATAGGGGATCATGGGGCCCCTGTGTCCTTGCCCACACTCAATGCACACTCAAAAAAGCCTATAAAAGGTACCAGGGGTATTTCCTGGGGCTCCCTACTGACCCCGGGCTCTCGGGCAGTTCCCGAGTGCTTGAATGGTCAGTCCACCCCTGGTCTCAACTGTGGTGCATGTGGTGGTCTATGACTAATGTAAAGGTCTTACTCAGCATATAGTATTTACAATGCAACTACACTGCATTTGAGTACCACAAACACTATATAGATCATTTTTTAATATTCAAAGCAAACTTACCCACCCATCCATGTCTCCATGCTTTTTGTGCCTAGAATTTCTGGCCGTGGTCATCTTAAGTAAGGGCAGATGATTAATGTAGTATTTACTTCCTGAACCCATCTGCCTTTAGCTCAGGCATGCAGGCAGGAGGGTGGCTTAGCTGAGGAAACCCTTTCCTAAAGACTCCTGGGATGAATGACATAATTTGCCTAGGCCTGAATACAAGGAAGTAACTGAAAAAAAACTGAAAGAAAAATTTTAAAACAACTAAATACATATACTTTCCTATATATACCATGTTGCCAAAATTATTGGGACACCTGCCTTTTACAAGCACATGAACTTTAATGGCATTCCATTCGTAGGGTTCAATATTGAGTTGTCCCACCCTTTGCAGCTATAACGGCTTCAATTCTTCTGGGAAGGCTGTCCAGAAGGTTTAGGAATGTGTCTATGGGAATGTTTGACTGTTCTTCCAGAAGCACATTTGTGAGGTCAGGTACTGATGTTGGACGAGAAGGCCTGGCTCGCAGTCTCTGCTATAATTCATCCCAAAGGTGTTCTATCAGGTTGAGGTCAGGACTCTGTGCAGACCAGTCAAGTACCTCTACCCCAAACTATCATCCATGTCTTTATGGACCTTGCTTTGTGCACTGGTACGCAGTCATGTTGGAACAGGAAGGAGCCTTCGCCAAACTGTTCCCACAAAGTTGGGAGCATGAAATTGTCATAAAGTCTTGGTATGCTGATGTCTTAAGAGTTCCTTTCACTGGAACTTATGGGCCAAGCCCAACCCCTGAAAAACAACCCCACACCATAACCCCCCTCCACCAAACTTTACACTTGGCACAATGCAGTCAGGCAAGTACTGTTCTCCTGGCAACTACCAAACTCAGACATGTCCATCAGTTTGCCAGACAGAGAAGCGTGATTTGTCACTCCAGAGAACACCTCTCCACTGCTCTAGAGTCCAGTGGCGGCTTGCTTTACACCACTGCATCCGTTGCTTTGCATTGCACTTGGTGATGTAAGGCTTGGATGCAGCTGCTTGGCCATGGAAACCTATTCCATGAAGCTCTCTACACACTGTTGTGCTAATCTGAAGGCCACACAAAGTTTGGAGGTCCTTAGCTATTGACTCTGCAGTTGGTGATAGAGAACTCATGCTATCTAACTCCACTACTCAAACAACAGGCAAAGTGTGTCCTGTTGTAACTACATTTTCAATTCAATACAAAGCAGTGAATAAAATAATTAACAAGAACTGGAATATTCTGATGGCCAATCCTGTCTTATCAAAGGTGTTACCAAATAGACATGAAATAGTCTTTCGTAAGGTACCTACTCTCTGAAACAGAATCTCCCCTAACATAATAGACCCTCCAATCAGATCTACTTTCTTCTCACAAATGAAAGGTTTTTACCCCTGTAAAAAGTGCGTTATATGCCAGCAAAGCAAAATCCCGCTTAGAAAGATAGAACATTTCACATCTACTCACACGGGTAAAACATATGATATTTCTTCTTTTATCTCCTGCAATAGTAAATATGCAGTCTACCTTCTTGAGTGTCCATGTAAAAGACAATATATTGGACGGGTGAAACAGTGCAAAATTAGTGACGCAAATAACATAAACACACAATATTAAATAGTGCCAAAAAACTCATAAATAATCACATGTGACAAGTGTCAATACGAGGTCCTAAAAGGACCAAATAACATAAATGGTGCCCCAAGTAATCCAATGGGATCCAATAGTGCTCCAAATCAAACAAGTAAGTCACAACAGGACTCAATGTGCTAAAAAAAAACCTCCCACCGGAACTAAAAATCAGTTCCCACCATATAACACAAAACACACGTGCATCCCAATAAACGCATAAACTAAGAACTGATCATGCAAACAAACATGAATAAATGAATAAATATATAAAGTCCCGTGAGGTGTAAAACATCTGACAACATACAAAAAACCATATATAAAGTCCACAGCAATTCTTGAAGAAGAAAAAAATAAATAAATAAATAAAAGTGCTGATAAATGTGCAGAGATATCCAAAAATGGCTGAATTGCCCGCTCACCTCCCTCTTGCGACCCGCACAGGGTCAAAAGGCCTTCAGGATCACTAAGACATGGACCCTTAATAGTAGGTAATCCTCCACAGCTCTCCACACTGACCTCCCCTCGTGTACAGATTCAAGCACAGGCTCACAGGGCAGCAGATCTCCTCCTCTTCAGGCACAGAAGGTGGCTGCAGCCACTTGATCCCTCAGAAAATATAAGTGAATGCTTGCATAGTGTAAAACTATTTATTCACCAAACAAAGTATCACATATCGAATATGCTCACATTTAAAATCATCTTGTACATCACATGTAAATCAAACCTCAGATCAGATGTACTTGCATGGGTGTCCAATGTAAATAAAGAAGGCGTCCGACCGGTAGTGCGTCACCGCCAACGTGTATCTTCACACTTAACACGTGACTTCATCAGGGCAAAATGTGTGAAGAATTTTTATGGTAGTAGCGCTGTATCATTTGTGTTTCATTTATATTTTTTGTCTATGGGTATATGACTGTATGTAGCAGCTTTACCTTTGTTGGTAGGTATTAGTTTTTAGGTAGGAGCGCAGGAGTTTGTCACATTAATATATTGGACGGACTACTAGACATCTGAGGGACAGATTTAGAGAACATATCTATAACATTAAACGAGGGTTCAAAGAGCACTTCTTTGTCAAAACATTATAGGCACCACCATAATCGGGATCCCTCAACACTCAAGTGAATTGTAACCATTGTGAACCATTGGAGAGGGTCAAATAAAACCAAATTGGTCTCACAAGCCGAGACTAAATGGATTTTTGAAAATGAAGACTTTGACACCAGCCGAACACAATGTAGATACTGACGTAAACTGCTTTATTGACAATAGTTAGTGATGGAGTCTTTATATTACAATTTAATTTATTACACAGTATCACATGTAGGCTACTCCTCGGTACTTTACGTGAGATTTATATATTTTTTACATATATTTTTATACATTTATACTTAATATATTTATCACCGTTCCCTTATTGGGAGGTGTTTGTAGTTATCTTGGTCTATTTTATTTTATTTTATTTTATTACAACCTCCTCGATCCCCTACAGTCTGGCTTCCGTCCCCTACACTCCACCGAAACGGCCCTACTCAAAATCACTAATGACCTGCTAACCGCCAAAGCTAATAGCCACTACTCAGTCCTCCTACTCCTCGACCTTTCCGTGGACTTTGACACAGTTGACCACCCCCTCCTCCTTGATAAACTACACTCCCTTGGCATCAGAGACACCGCTCTCTCCTGGCTCTCCTCCTATCTATCCCAATGCTCCTTCAGCATTACCTATAATGCTACCACCTCCCCCTCTCTCCCCCTCTCTGTTGGGGTTCCCCAAGGCTCTGTCCTCGGGCCCCTTCTCTTCTCCATCTACACCTCCTCCCTCGGCAAACTGATACACTCCCACAGCTTCAACTATCACCTCTATGCCGATGACACACAAAATTACCTCTCCACCCCTCACCCCTTCAGTCTCCTCCCATATCGCCCACCTACTGAACGACATATCAGACTGGATGTCGCTCCATTTCCTCAAATTGAACCTTTCCAAAACCAAGCTCATAATTTTCCCCCCAGCCCACGCCACCCCCCCCCATCCTTTCCATCATGACCAACAACGCCACCATCAGTCCCACCCCGCAAGCCAAAGTCCTAGGTGTCACTGTAGACTCAAACCTGTCCTTCCAACCCCATGTCCAATCGCTGGCAAACTCATGCAGGCTCCACCTCTGCAACATTTCCAAAATACGTACGTTCCTAACCCCAGACACTACTAAACAACTCGTCCACTCCCTCATTATCTCACATCTGTACTACTGCAACTCTCTTCTCACTGGCCTACCCCAACACAGGCTATCCCCGCTTCAATCTATCCCGAACTCAGCGGCCAGACTCATCCACCTTACCAACCGCTGCACTTCTGCCACCCCCCTCTGTCATTCCCTTCACTGGCTTCCAATTGCCCAACGCATTAAATTAAAAATACACTGACATACAAAGCTATCCATAACACTGCCTCAAACTACCTCACCAACCTGATACCCAAATACCACCCAACCCGTACTCTTCGTTCCTCACAAGACCTCCTACTTTCTAGCTTCCTGGTCTCCTCCTCCCACGCCCGACTGCAGGACTTCTCCAGGACTTCCCCCATCCTCTGGAACTTACTACCCCAATCCATCAGACTGTCACCTACCCTCCTCACCTTTTGGCACACCCTGAAAACCCATCTCTTCAAGGAAGCCTACCCCACCCTCACTTAACCGCCGATCTCCTCCACTTCTACTACCACTCCATCCCCCACAGCCACTTCCTCCTGTACCACTATCCCCTCCCTCCTAGATTGTAAGCTCGAAAGAGCAGGGCCCTCGAACCCCTTGTGTATTGTTTTGTTACTGTATTGTCTCATGTTCTGTCCCCCACTATAGTGTACAGCGCTGAGCAAACCTTCTGGCGCTATATAAATACTGTATAATAATAATAATAATAATATTTCATTTTTTATTTTTTATATTTTGTACATACTTCTTTCAACATGCGTTGTTTCCCTATTTTCTAGAACGAATGATGACCATTTTAGTCCACATCCTGGTTTCCTTCTTATTTGATTCTTTATGTCTTATTGCATTTTTTACCCTGGTTTATATCAATTTGCTTTTATACCTTTTGAATATTATCACCATAATATGGGTTTTAAGTGTTTTTACATCATTCAAAGTGGTATTCTATTCATTCTGTGATTATGTATAACAGATTTTTGATTATGTTTCCCTTTTTTACATTCCAGGACGGCTTTTTTTAGCATATCTCATATGCGTTAAGATTTTGAATGCATAGTTTCCTTATTATAAGGTCATTCATATATTTCATGGATGTGGTCTCTGACTCACCATTTCATTCATGCATTTAAATAAATAAATCACATAGTACCTACAATGTAGGTGACTTTTAGCCCTCTGAAAGTTTATTTCCCCAAAAAAACCAAGGGAAAATGGCGCCACCCGTGCGCATTTTATTGCTTGTCTCGAACATTCCACCACGGATATCACCATATATTAACACATATTTGTTGATACCATCTGCTTTATTATAGCCTTTAGTACATGCTAAATACTAATTATGCAGCAGAGCCTTGTCTCTGAAGATTTTTACATTGATAGCCATTTGTAGTGTTTCTCCTTCTGAGACCAAGGTAAAATGGCGCTCACGCATGCGCAATATAACGTTGGTCTCAGGCTCTGTATTTCCTTGCCTTGGACCAACGCAAAATGGCGCCTGCGGTTTCATGCATGCACACCTGTGCCGGTCTCCGGCAAGATGGCGCCCGGCAATCAAGGCGCGATTTTTTAAATTTCTGAAACCTATAAATAGCAATGTACAGGCGCCAGGCTGCAAATGGCGCACTCCTTATGACAATGTACTTGTAGTACGAAATGCATCAAGGAGGAGCCCTGCACGCCGTGACGTCACGCCGCCGGATCACGGAGGTCTGGCGGCCATCTCTTTTTCCAGCTGGTCAGTGTTATATTCATGCAGTTGTCATTTTATTGCTTCGTTTCTTGCACAAAAAGTGTTCGTGTTTGGATTTTATACTTTTTTTTTTTGTTTACAAACGATTTTATTGAATAAAAGTAGACAGTAAAACAACAGCACATTTTCAAATAATATTTACAGCAAAAACAAGGCACTTTTGAAAAGTACAATTCAGAAAAGTATATTATAGTAAGAAAGAAAAGAAACAGAAAAAAAGTAGATTGCAAGTACATGAAATACGTTAATGATAAGATAGGTTGACTGATACTTCTGTCAACAGTATATGTCAGTCATTTTTCACTGGAAATGTTGTTAATCATGCAATAAATGTCTATAATCCCTCCATGACTCCCATTTTTTATCAAATAAGTGCATCTTATCCAGTAGGGTATAATGAATGCGTTCCATGAGCATTACAGCATCAATTCTGTGTAGGACGGAGGCCAAGGGTACAGCATTGAACCTCCAGTGTAAGGCAATAGACCATAAAGTGGCAATACATATAGTATGTATCAATCTCATAATGGCATCAGGGACCCCTGGGATATGAGCCCCCAATAGACAGGTCTGTATAGACAAGCGTACTGGGGTACCCGTCAGTGAGGTAGCCACCTCGGATATCCTGCACCAAATCAAAGATATGGATGGGCAATCCCAAATATATGCACCGAAGTGCCTGTGAGGCCACAGCCCCGGAAACATAGAGGGGATGTTTGTGGGAACAATATATGTATTCTTGATGGGGTATAATACCATCTGGTTAAAACCTTAAGGGCCGTCTCACGAACATAAAGAGATCGAGAGCTTTTACATATGTTATCCACCATGGAATCCCAATCCTCATCTGAAAAAGTGGTACTACTATCCTCCTCCCATTTTTGTTGGTATAAAGGAGGTGTATGAAAAAGACAGAGCAAAGATTGGTGATAAAAATCAGAAATAAGACCCCTACGCCTAGGAAAGTCATGGCTGGTACATTCAAAAAAGGAAATTGGAGAAGATGGTATAAGGCCAAAGTGTGAAAAAAGTGTCTAACCTGTCGGTAAGGATGGTACTTACGAAGGGGAATATCAAAAAGCGAGCGCAGCATATCAAAGGCAATGTAAGATCCTTCTCTTTGAAAATCAGATAATCTGATAAGAGATTGATCATACCACCAACGAAACAGTTGAGGATTTTATACTTTTTATATTTAATACCATTAAAGCATCATTTTAAGCACTACACTGTGGGAATACCCCTTTTCTTTGCTCCGTACCGAGCGCTTTAACTTCCCAGCAATCCCCGGTGAACATCCCAGAGCCTGGACGAGGTGGATCCATTAACCCTGGCTTGCCAATATCCTGTAACCTAAGTAAGGCCATCCACTCCCAGGCTGCATTCCAGAGCACTGGAAGAAGGGATCCCTGACTGTCCCAACAGTATATGATACAACGTGCTATATTTATGCGCTTCTGGTGAGTGTGCATTTCATATATTTATTAGCACACCCACCTGAGGATCTATGTACTGGGATTTAACACAATCACCTGGCTATTATCCTGATTATTATCTGGAAGATTTTACTGAGATTTTATTGACATTTTTAATTTCAAAATGCATTATAGATGCTTGTGAGTTTTTATTTAAGGGACTATATTTCCATGTGTTTATAGGTATTTTATTATTATAACGCATTTACTATTTATGTTTGTTTTCCTTATGAGATCTCTTTTATCCTTTTTAGCGCTGCACTATTATTTTAGATTTAGTTGGTGACATTTTATGTGGCCTACCACTTCATGGCTGAATTGCTGTTGTTCCCAGTTGCTTCCACTTTGTTATAATGCCACTAACAGTTGAACGTGGAATATTTAGTAGCAAGGAAATTTCACAGATGGACTTACAGGTGAAACTAAAAAAAATTAGAATATCGTGCAAAAGTTAATGTTAGCAGAATAAGGATTAAAAATAGTCAATGCTGATTGAGAATGAAGTTCTGCTTTAAAGATATCTAACTTTATTAACAAGCATTCTTTTTCACCCATTGTATACTTCTGTGCCCTTGGTATAACTTCATAGTACTGTGCCAAGGATGACATCTGAGCAATTAGCTTATAGGAAAAAGTGTCTCAAGAAATAAAGGAAACAAATAATTTATGCAAATACCTGGTTCCCTAATATCAGGTTCGGAGTAAGTTATCTGAGTAAGAGTGTATGCTTCCCTATCATCCCACAGCTTTGGTAATTTTAAATGCTAAATCAATTTCTTGAAATTTGTCAGGATCAAGCTAACAAATTATATTATGTGGGTAATTCCAAAAGGGCAAGAGTTTACTCTCAGCACAAGGACTGCACCAATCTCCTATCTTCTGGCTGAAAATATCAGAGTTGCCTTTCTATTGTAAAAACTTTGCTGACACCATTGAGCTTTTTCTAGATGTTGGGCAGCAGTGAGGGTTACCTCAGCGATACTCTATCCCGATTGTTCAACACGTTGTAGGACTTAGCTTAGGTCTGGTTGCACTGTACTTTTCTCTGCCTGTATTCCTTTGTATTGGCAAGTAAACATCTTGGATACTTTTGGGTACTCCCAGTTAGGGAAGGGGTGAAACTGCCTTTCTTATCAACTACTTCATGCAGTATGCAGTATGCTTCATGGTTCTGTAACTTATTCCTCCAAACTGTGAGTCTGAGAATGGTATACAGGAGAAATTTGACTTTCAAATGGTGAAAAGTTATTTTATGAGTTTAGTATTTTATTATCTCTTTGGATATAACAACTTTCAAAAACACTTATTGTAAAATTTCATAAATCGCAAGTATTTTAGAGTCAAATTGGCCTCAGCTAGCAAGTTCTATAACTGTCTATTAACAAGATGTGTTATTTATTTATTTTGTTTAGTAGACCTTTCTAAAAGACACACCACCCATTGCAGTGCATTCAAATGGAGTAAATTAAAAGCATTGGGACACGTTGTACTCTAATGTAAATGTGGATTAGATAGCTGCTACTCTGTACACAATGCACAATACTTCTGGAAACTTTCAAATACACTCGGCCAAAAAAAACAATCTTTAGTGTTCAAGGCTCCAAGGTCTCCACTTATAAAGATGTATGCACCAATTCTAAGTGTTTACTTACTTTAAATAAATATAGAACCACTAACTGTTTTCAATACTTCCACCCTTATTCTTCCTTGTAAACCTCATAGCTGCAAAGAGGGAAACAGAATCCGTGAGGTTTAGAAATCATTCCAATGTCAACCATCCATATCCACACACTAGCAAAGGCAAGCAGCTTTCCAGCTAACTTTTAGCACTCACAGAACTTTAAATCAGGAAGCATGGAACAGATTGGGGACATAACCAAAATAACAGCAAAACAAGATATTGGTGTACTCGCATGGACCAAGAGCAGCATTTGGTATTAGTAGTCCTAATGCACTGAGCCTTATGTGAGCTTAACCCTTATGACATTACAGGTTGCCAACTAGAAAACTAGGGGGTTTATTTACTAAAGACAAATACACTGTGCACTTTGCAAAGTGCAGTTGTACTCTGCAAGTGCAGTTGCTCCAGAGCTTGCTAAATGAGGTACAGCTTCGCTTTGCAAAAAATACCAATCATGTGCACTGAAAATTTTAAAAAAACAGCATTTTTGCTTGCATGTGATTGGATGATGGAAGTCAGCAGAGTTTCTGCTCATTTACTAAGCTATGAGGCAACTGCTCTTGCAGAGTGCAATTGAGCCTTACAAAGTGCACAGTCTATTTGCCTTTAGTAAATCAACTCCTGTGTTGGAAGGCAGGGATCAGAGGAAGCAATAGCCGACAGTGAGCGAAGGTCAGAGGGTACTCTTGGGGGCATTAGTAGCAGTATAACCAAAATACCAAAACCACAGGTGAGTAGGTTGGCAGAACACCAGGGCATTTTTAATCAGAGAAAAGGTGCAGGAACTCACCCTCCCTGCCAACCTCCTTCCCCCAACCACGCCCAAACCCTTCCCCCAGCTACACCTTGGTTCAGGAATGTGTAACATACAATGTATAGGACTCAGGAGTGTGTATTGTGCAGTTGTGAGAAGTGCGTATCACACAGACAACAAAAGGGACAGTACTTACATTCAATGCAAAGCATCCCTTGTGCTCAGGAATATGCAACATATAGCCCTGTGTACAGAATGCAGGGGTCAGGAATATGTAACACAGACCCAGCACACAGAGTGCAGTAGTAAAGCATATGTAATATGCAGTCTAGCATACAGAATGCAGGGCTCAGGAGTATGTAATGCAAAACCCATTGTACAGAGTACAGCATTCAGGAGTACCATCCAGAGGCCTTTAATACAATATGTAACATACAGCTCAGCATACAGACTATAGTGGTTCTAACTGTGTAATGTACAGGGTGTAACAACATTCTGACCACTGCACCCTGAATGCTGTGCCATACAATATAAACTCTTCCTCAAGCACAAATCCCCCTTCCTTCAAGTATCCCACCAAAAAAAAAGTATAATCAAATCCTCACCTCTGTACACATCTTTGCTTACCTCTGTGTCTCTCATCCATAGCTCACCTCTTCTTTCCCCTGTCCACAGCTCCACTCTACACCCCTATCTACAATTCAACTTAGCACCCCCCATCCACAACTCATTTTTGCCCCCTCCCCATCAACTTCTTGTCTCTGCACCCCTCCAATCGCAACTTACACCCCAGTCCACAACTCACCTCTGCACCCCCATCCACATTATCTCTGCACCCTCAACTAAAGCTCACCCCATTCCACAGCTCTCACCTTTGCCACCCCCTATGTTTCACCTCTGCAGCCCCAGATTCCCCCACAGCTCTCACCTCTGCACCATCTACCCTCCCCTCCCCCCTCCACATCTCTCACTTTGCACAACCTGCCTTCTGCCCTCTGCACAAAGATCCCCCCTCCCAGTTCTCTTCTCTGCAAAAAGTTCTTCCCCAGCTCTCCTTTCCACATACTGTATAAGCTTCCCTGGTTCTCCTCTCTGCAAAATCACCCCCCCCCCCAGTTTTCCTCTCTGCACAGATCACCCCCCCCCCCACACACACACACACACACACACACACACACACACACACACTTTCATAGTTCTTATGCACAAACTTCCTCCAGCTCCCCTCTCTGCACATATTACCCCTTTCCCCCCACAGTTCTCCCTGCACATATTTCCTACTCTCCACCAGGGGTGGACTGACCATTTGGAAACTCGGGCACTGCCCGAGGGCCCAAGGTCAGTAGGCGGCCCCATGAGATGCCCTGGTACCTTTTTCATAAGCTTTTTTGAGTTTGGGCAAGGACACAGGGGCCCCATGATCTCCTATTGCCCGGGGGCCCCATGAGTTGTCAGTCCGCCCCTGCTCTCCACATGTATTCAGCTCTCCCCTCCTTTTCATTCCCAGCTCCCTCACCTCTTCCACCGCCACTGTATGTGGCATGACCTGTTTTTTTTTCTTTCTTATTTAGCACAATCTGACAATTGGAGAGCTTCATCTATCAAAACTGTAGCACAGAGCTGAGGAGAAGTTTCAGGGCTCCTTGGCTGCATGTCTGAGTAGCGGCAGCAGGCAGGGATGAAAGCTGCCTCCCAACCCCACAGGCAGCTGTAGGTTGCGATGCCACGACCCAATGCACTTAACAGGGCTCCCTGGGTGCCCAGCGCTAGTACAGAGAAGCCGGTAGAGGAAGTGAGCTGTGCAGAAATCTTCCTCTTCTGGCTTCTGTGATAACTGACAGGTTAGAGACAGGAGGGCTGCCAGAAGTCCCAGAACGGTCTTCTGGCTAAAAAAAAAGCCCTGCAGAACACAATTGCAGCCTCATAACAACTTAGGAGGGAAAAATATGTACAAAACTAAATTGTATGTACAATGCTAGAAATCTAGCGAATAAAATGGAAGGGGCTTTTGATACACAAGGATAATTTCGACTTCCTGGGAACTGACAGCTCACATGACTGACTTGCCATTGTCCAGTGGTACTCCATATATTGGAGGACCAGGAAGGGTAGAAGAGGGGGAGGGGTAAGCCTGTATATCAAGACTAATTTGATAGTGAATCTGAGGGATGATATAGCTAATGTTGTAAGGGAGGAGGTGGAAAGTTTGTGGCTGGAGCTTGAAAGGGAAGAAACGAATGGGAAATGAACAATGGGCATATGCAACAGTCCCCTTAACTTTGAAGAATGAGGAGGAGTCTGTCCATCTGTCACACTTAGGAAGAGTGGCAAAGCAGAACAATGTTATCATATTTGGGGATTTCAGTTTTTCAGATATTGACTAGGCAGAAGGAACTGCTCACTCATTTAACCACTTTATAACCACTTTTTGCTAGACAACTACTTAGAACCCCTAAACATTATATATTTTTTAAGCAGAGGTGCTATAGAATAAAATAGTGGGTGTTGAAATTTTTTTATGTCACACTTTATTTGTTTTTTGTTTTTCAAAAGTATTTTTTTTGGAACAAATACACTTTAATTAATTTTAATGAACAAAAACACAATCTAATAAAAAATTGTTCGGCAAAATATAAAAGATGATCTTATGCTGAGTAAATAGATACCTAACATGTCATACTTTAAAATTGCACATGTTGTGGAATGGTGACAAACTGCTGTACTTAAAAATCTCCATAGAAAATGCTTTAAAAGCCTTTACAGGTTATCAGTTTAGAGTGACACAGGAGGTCTAGATCAAGAAGTATTGTTCTCACTCACAGTAATTCCTCACATGTGTGGTGCAATCGCCATTTACATACACACGCATGTGTTCACCTTTGCGTGAGAGCACGGTGGGACGAGGTGCTTTACTTTTTTGAATTGTTTATTTTATTTGAATGTTTTCATTTTTACATAGTCTCTTTAATTTTTTTTACTGCTATCACAAG